CGTCAATCTACTGTTGGTTATTCTCCGGCATCCAGTTACAAAACTGTTATTTATGTCATTTCAAGAAGATCAACTACCACGCGACTGTAAGGAAGCAAGCATGCTTGCAATCCAACTGGGTTTGTCTAACTCGATACCAAGCAAGTGTAAGAGTGTGAAATTGACAAGCTTCTTGCTCATAGGTTTGGTAAGGGTCTTAAGGAACCGGATCGGTAAGCACTTAGCGGAGCACAATATAATTTGAGCAAAAGAACTTGGTTATCTCAAGAGGTACTCGAGCTTTACGAACTTATTGCAACTTCTGGACGAAGGTACTCATTGTCTCGATCTAGGGATGCCTGTAAAAGTCTGTTAACTGGAATTAAGTAAGGCTTTGAAGCACCGAAACAACGACTTTTACCCAAGATATTAATATGGATTAAGCTGTAGTCCAAATTCTTAAATTAAATTTCAGGCCTTTCACACGGAATAAATTTTTGTGTCCAAGTAGGTTATACGCGTTCTATTATGAGCTGGCTTATAGTGACATCCTTCAAGGCGCGGTACGAGGAAACCTACTATACATAATCTTTCTAAATGACCTGGCATCCAACATGCTAACCCACCCGATGCACTTTTGCTAACTATCTGTTGTTGGTCAGCAGGGGTGATCGATAAACCCATTCGAAGGACAATGCCACAGTGGTCAATTTATCGAATCAGTGGAACCGACTTCTAAATACAAACATAGGTCAGGTATTGACGGCTAGGAAAGATTAACCTACAGTTCATACATCTTCGTTGTCCATGACACTGCCGAATACTAGCCAAACAAGTGATCTTAGCATCCTCTGTGTAAACATTTTCAAACCCTTCGCACAGAGCTTTCGGGTTGGTAACTAAGCGCTGCGAACGTTGGTTCAAGAGCAAGTTCAAATTTACGTGAGACTGGAACGCCAGGATTATTCCGTTGGTGGACCCACTTCAGCGGGTCGTTGAACCAGGAGTTCGTTAACTTGGAGGTACTGATGGACCTAAAACATAGACCGCATCACACCCTGTCCAACCAATTAATGTCCACCTATCCTGCTCTATCCGTCCCTCCTGGAATGGTTAGCTGTAGTAAGAAAGAGAAGATAATGAACTCAGAAGGCAGAAAGAGAACTTGGAAAGAGCTAAGCAAGTAGAATACCAAGACATTTGAGTCATTAAATAGAACTGAAAAGTGAGTTTGTGTTAGTTAGGAACAAAGAATGGTTTGGTGTTGCTACCCAAGAGCCACTGGCTGGCGCGCAAATCCCTTAACCGTATGTTCCATAACTACGTGACCTGGAAGCGAATTCCAGTTCTTTATAACTCCGCGTGACAGAGGAGTTTCCATTCTCAACCTAACTGACAGTAGTTTATGCTACTGTTGGGCGGAACCTGGGATACTAGTCGGTAAGCAATGACACGTAAGACGTGTCAAATACGACAGTATAGAAGTCGGAGGCAACTGAACCCAACGTATATTGTACAGGCTACAAGAATAGGAAGCGAATCAGACAGAGCGAGAAACGTGCAGCGAGGAACTCACCAAAACGGTTTGTGACCATGGATGTGCAGTCAGTTAAACAAATGGACGTTTCGAAGGTTAAAACAACCATAAAATCCAATGTTATAAGATACTGAAAGAGCATGTTTTCAGTTGCACTACAAGGGCCTCCCCCTAGAAGGCTGAAGGATGGAAGCCTTCGATGGAGCTGTTAGTGGGGGGAACGGAAGGTGAGGGTGGATGCGAATGTTTGCAGGGGCTTGAGAAGGGCTTCCAAAGTGGGGTGTAGCAGATTTCGCTGGGTCCAGGCTTTTGTTAGTTTTATTTATGCCGATCGTGTGGACCAGAGTGCATCATCGGTGGGCCGTCGGGGCGGGCTGGTCGGACTGCAAAAAAACTGGCTAGTCCAGAAAAAAGGCCGACAGGACCTTCCCATTGTTGCAGACCCGACGGTGCGCTTGGGAGGTGTCACTCCCCCCACCGCACTTTAGTCCACGGTCCTCGTCCCTCGGGGAAATCCGGCCGTCCTCGTCCCACGAAGAAATGCAGGCGTCCTCGTCGGCAATGCCTAGGCGGCGTTTGAGGACCAATCCGTTCGTGGGTGTCTGCGGTCGAGGGCGACTGTCTGTTCCTTGGATGAGGAAGGGGCTTTGGGACGGCTGGCGAGTCACACCAGGGTTGCGTTGAGCCGGTTGGCGAATCACTCGAGGGTTGACTGGGCAGTTCCGGCGGTTGAGTTTCTGGAAAGTAAAACTCAGAGGGGGTTGGCAAGGGTAGGGGAAGTGGCTTGACGCCGGAGAGGGATCATGGCATGTATGATAAAAGCAAATACGCTTTTTAGGTTTTTTTTAAAAATGTTTTGGGTTTTTTTGTCGATTTTGCAAAACGTTTGTAGGTGAGACGCAGGATAACCATTAAATACGAAAAAGGCGTGTTAATGGAAATAGCAAACGCTTACAAAATCGGAAAAACGTACCGGACGTTTGACCTGTCTACCGCGTCGGTCGGTTGCCTGGGGTTGAGGCGGGATAGGTTGCGGGTCAAGGAGTACGGAGGGATCCGGGTTATCCAGCGCTCGGGAAGTCACCACAGGTGCGGGTGCTTGTGGGAGAGCATCAGGATGAGCTGCAAGTGGCTCGTCAAAGAAAGCCACTTTGAGGCGGTCGATGGACACCGTTGTTCGGTGACCATTCTGGTCTATAGTAAAATGTTTCGGAGTCCGTTGCAGAACTCTGAAAGGGCCAGTGTAGGGAGGCTGGAGAGGGCGCCGCACTGCGTCGGTGCGGAGGAAGACGTGAGTGCAGGTAGAGAGTCCGCTGTGCATTTGCACATCTCTAGTCTGTTCACGGGGCGGGGTCGGGCGTAGTGAACGCATGCGCTGAGCTAGGGAGGACGCAAAGTTAGGCGGAGGCATACCCGATGATGCGGGAGGTGAAACGAATTCTCCTGGTAACTTGAGCGTCGTTCCGTAAACCAGCTCTGCTGGTGCACATTGCAAGTCAGCTTTGATGCTGCTGCGAATGCCTAAGAGTACGAGCGAAATGTTTTCGCTCCAGCTAGGGTCAGAGGAGGCGCAGAGCGAGGCTTTAAGCTGTCTATGGAAAAGTTCAACTAGCCCGTTTGCTGCTGGGTGATACGCTGTTGTATGGATGCGGCGACAACCTAAGAAGTTGCAGAACGTATCGAATTGTGAAGATTCGAAAGGCGTTCCGCGGTCAGTTGTGATCGTGGATGGGCATCCGTAGTGCGAGACCCATCGGTCCAAGAGGGCCCGGATAACAGTCTCAGCTGTGCAGTCTGTTACGGGGATAGCTTCTGGCCATCTGGTGAAGCGGTCGACACATGTAAGGATGTATACGAATCCGCGTGACGGAGGCAATGGACCTACCAGGTCTAAGTGTACATGCGAGAACCGAGAGTCTGGGGCAGGAAATGTACCAAGAGGACTGCGGGTGTGACGATGTACTTTAGAGCGCTGGCATTGCAGGCAGGCGCGAGCCCAGGTACGAACATCTTTATTTACGCGTGGCCAAACGAAACGTTCGGTGACCAGTTTCAAAGATGCACGGATACCGGGATGTGACAGTGAGTGAAGTGCGTCAAAGACTGTGCGTCTGAAGGAGACGGGCACGAGAGGTCTAGGACAACCTGTGGACGTGTCACAGAGGATGGTTCCTTCCGTGGTTTGGAGAGGAACAGGTTGCACATGCAGCGAAGTGGACTGCAGAGTGCGCTGTATGTCTTCGTCTTGAGCCTGAGCCGATGCCATGGCGGCAAGGTCGACGGTAGGCAAAGACTGCAGAGTGAGGTTGACGCGTGAGAGAGCGTCGGCGATGGGATTGTCGACACCTGAGACATGACGTATGTCAGCAGTGAACTGCGTGACAAAGTCTAGGTGTCTTGTTTCCCGTGGGGAGTACTTGTCGCCAGCAGAGTTGAAGGCAAAGATAAGGGGCTTGTGGTCAGTGTAGACCGTGAAAGCGCGGCCTTCAAGTGTGTGCCGGAAGTGACGTATTGCTAGGTAAATGGCGAGCAGTTCTCTGCCAAACGTGCTGTAGCGGGATTCCGCTGGCTGCAGACGCTTGGAGAAGAACCCAAGGGGTTGCCAGCGCCCACCAACGTGTTGTTGGAGGACGGCTCCTACTGCTACGTCTGAGGCATCAGTCGTAATAGAAAGAGGTGCAGTCGATTCGGAATGAGCGAGGAGGGCTATGTTGGAGATAGCATCCTTGAGCTCGGCGAAGGCTGCCTGTGCTGTTTCAGGGAAAGCGAACTTGCGTTCATTTCCTCTAAGTAAGTCAGTCAGTGGCTGCATGAGCTGAGCGCAGCGCGGAATGAAGCGTCGATAGTAGTTGACCAAACCACAACATCGACGGAGGTGCTTGAAGGAAGTCGGAGCTGGGAAGTCCTTGATTGCCTGGATCTTATCAGGAAGGACTTCGATACCAGACGATGAAACGACGTGGCCTAGGAATTCTACCGTTGATTTGCCGAGTTCGCACTTAGTCGGGTTGACTGTGACACCGTGTTGGGTCAAGCGCTGGAAGAGAGCTCGAAGATGCTCGAGATGCTCTTGTTCCGATGAACTGGCTACTAAGATATCATCGAGGTAGGAATATGCGAAGTCAAGGCCACGAGTGACATCGTGGATGAAGCGCTGGAAGGTTTGTGCGGCGTTGCACAGTCCAAATGGCATTCTTAAAAATTCAAAAAAGCCGAAAGGAGTGATTACGGCTGTTTTAGGAATGTCATTGTCTTCCACAGGTATCTGGTGATAGGCGCGAACCAGATCGATCTTGCTGAAGATCGTCTTACCTGTGAGGCATGCGGTAAGGTCCTGCATGTGTGGGATGGGATACCTATCTGGGACGGTTAGGCGATTGAGTGCGCGGTAATCACCGCAAGGACGCCAGTCACCAGATTTCTTGGGCACCATCTGCATAGTCTGAGCCCCGACCCGCGAGCGCCTGAAAACCCCCCCCCTCCGTCAACCCCTCGCCCCCCCCCCCCCCCACCAAGGCCCCTCCCCCCCCCACCCACGGCACCCGGCCCCCGCGACCCACCCCCCCCTGTCCCACCCCCCCCCACCCCCCCCCGGCCCCTGCCCCCTCCACGGCCCCCCCACCCCCCCCCCCGCCCCCCCCCCCCCGCCCCCCCCACCCACCCACCACCCACCCCCCCCGCCACCCCACCCCCGCCCACCTCCACCACCCCCCACACCGCCCCGGCCCCCCCCACCCCAACCGCCCCCCCCCCCCCACGCACCCCCCCCCCCCCCCCCCACCCCGATGTTTTTGTGCCTTGTTTCATGCATTTGCTCATGTTTCCGCCCTAGCATACCTTTAGTTTTTTCTGGTGATTGTCGGCGCTGGACGGCAGCTTGAACACCTAGGGGGCAATTCGTCCGTATGTGGTTGCGTGGCTTGTGCTGCCGACGGGTCATAGCTGCCGTTTCATTGGCTGGGAACGTGCCTTGGGAATACTGAGAATAAGGAAGATTAGCGTACGGCTCGATCGAGGTGCTGGGGAAAAAGGCATAGACCGGGGATATAGATGTCACCATCGGCTGCGTGGGTGGGATTGTCCGATGTTACGCTGATGTTTTTTTGTAATGCAGTGCTTTTCCGATAAGCTTTTTAAATATGGCGTTTACGAGCATGACTCCAGAGGGTGCGAGAATATGCTCGTTTCTGAGAAAATGGTCAATTATTGCCGAACATAGGTAATACGTGGGCAAAGGGGGGACTGGCAGCGAGAGTAAAAATATCAAGGCGAGGAAAGTTGTCGCACGTTATAAATGCTTGGTCCATGGTTAGAGTGATCCTGTAATGAACATTTTAAAAGGTGGTCCTACAGGGCGTGCCATTGGCCAGGGTAGCACCAGAAGAGCTTATGTAAATGTTTATGTTTTACTCAGCAGATTGAAGCGGGTTATTTGGCGCTCTCACTCTGTGCATAGGGTGGATTTATTTTAGACACTGACTTCCGGACCTCGGAGTATCAAGACTAAGGTGGAGAGAGATAGTATAGGGCTTGGTCAATCGGTGTTTCGATTTAATCTACCTAAATGTAGATGATGATCGATCTCTCTCTTGTAGGGCTTTTATGCCTGAGGCGTTTGTAAGTGGCGCGTATTTAGTACAGGTACGGGTCTGTCCTTATTTGGTGGGGGGCGGGTGGTTGCTGATGCGTGTTTGCGGGTTTTTTCAATCTCGATTTTTTAGTTACCCAGATATATTAGATATCGCGATGTTGGTAAAAGCGAGTAACCTGATGCGCTAGCTGGTATTGTCACCTTTGATTGGAGGTTTGCGTACGTTTTGTGAGTGTGTGGATGGTGTGCTTGCACGCTGAATGCGACGAGATACGGAAATTTAATGGTCTTATTGAGAAGGGGGCCAGGCGCGAACTGTAGTGGTTTTGCGACCATGCGCACAACTGCTGAC